CGATGACAGAGTTAACAATAACCGAGTTGACAATAAGAGCTGACAATAGCCAAGTTGACAATAAGAGCTGACGAAAACAGTGTAACCGAGTTGACGATAACCAAGTGGACAATAACCAAGCTGACGATAACCGAGTTGATGATAAGAGCTGACAATAACGGAGCTAACGATAAGAGCTGACGATAACAGAGTTGACGATAACAGAGTTGACAATAACAGAGCTGACGATAACCAAGTTGACGATAACAGAGTTCAAGAACTGACAATAAGTTGACGATAACTGAGTTGACAGTAACAGAGTTGATAATAACAGTTAAAGATAACCGAGTTGACGGTTACCGAGTTTAAGATAACTGAGCTGACGATGACCAAGTTGATGATAAGAGATGACGACAAAAGTTTACCCGGGTTGATGGTAACCGAGTTGATGACAACCGAGTTGACAATAAGAGCTGACAATAACCGAGTTGACAATAACAGAGTTGACGATAACGGAGTTGACGACAACCAAGCTGACGATAACCAAGTTGATGGTAACAGAGTTGACTATAAGAGCTGATGTTATCCGTGTTCGCGCTAACCAAGTTGACTCTAACCGAGTTGACGATGACAGAGTTAACAATAACCGAGTTGACAATAAGAGCTGACAATAGCCAAGTTGACAATAAGAGCTGACGAAAACAGTGTAACCGAGTTGACGATAACCAAGTTGACAATAACCAAGCTGACGATAACCGAGCTAAGGATAACCAAGTTGATGATAGGAGCTGATAGTAACAGAGCTTACGATAACTAAGTTGACCGTGACCGAGTTGACGATAACCAAATTGACTATATAAGCTGACGATAAGAGTTTAAGGTAACCGAGTTGACAATAACCGAATTGACAAAAAGAGCTGACTCTAACAGAGTTGACGGTAGCTGAAGATAAAAGTTGACGATAACTGAGTTGACTATAAGAGCTGATGATAACCGAGTTGACATTGACCAAGTTGAAGATAAGAGCTGACGACAACAGTTTAACCAAGTTGATGATTAACGACTTGATAAGAGCTGACAATAACAGAGTTTAAGATAACCGAGTTGACGATAACCGAGTTGACAATAACCAGGCTGACGATAACAGAGTTAACAATAACTGAGTTGACAAGAACTGACGACAAGTTTAACCAAGTTTGACCAATGACGATATCCGAAAAAGAGTTTAACTGAGTTGATGATAACCGACTTGATAAGAGCTGTCGATAACAGTTTTAAAAAAATTTATGACAACCGAGTTGATGATAAAAGCTGATAGTAACAGAGTTTAAGATAACCAATTTGACATTGACCAAGCTGACAGTAACAGAGCTAAAGATATGAGTTCACGGTAAACGAGTTGACTGCAACCGCGTTGATAGTAACCGAATTGACTATAACCGCGTTGACTATAAGAGCTGATGATAACCGAGTTGACAATACCCTAGTTGAGGATAACCGAGATGATGATAACCGTGTTCACGGTAACAAAGCTGACGTTAACCAAGTTGATGGTAAAAGAGTTTACATTAACAGAGCTGATGATAAGAGTTGAGAATAACCGTGTTGACGGTGACCGAGCTGACGATAACCGAATTAACTATAAGAGCTGATGATAACAGAGTTTAAGATAACCTAGTTGACGATAACCGAGCTGACGATAACCGTTTTGATGATAACCAAATCGACATTAAGAGATAATAGTTTAATTCAGTTGATGATATCCGGGAAGAATTTAACCGAGTTGACGATAAGAGCTGACAGTGAGAGTTTAAAATAACCAAGTTTACGATATGTGAGTTGACGATTTTCGAGTTGACAGTAACAGCTCACGATAAGAGTTGACAATAACAGAGTCAACGGTAACCAAGCTGACTATAACCGAACTGACTATAAGAGCTGATGATAACAGAGTGTAAGATAATCAAGTTGACGATAACAGAGTTGACGAAAACCGAGCTGATGATAACCGAAAAGATTTTAACCAAGTTGACGATAACAAAGTTGAAGATAACTGAATTGATGATTACTGAGTTGGCAATAACAGAGTTTAAGAACTGACGATAAGTTGACGATAACTGAGTAGACAGTAACCAAGTTGACAATAACCAAGTTGACAGTAACGAAGTTGACGATAACCAAGTTGATGATAACAGCTGAGGATAACAGAGCTGACGATAACAAAGCTGACGATAACAGAGTTGACGATAACATCTGACGATAACCGAGTTGACGATAACAGCTGACAATAACGGAGCTAACGATAACATCTGACGATAACCGAGTTGACGATAACAGTTGACAATAACAGAGCTGACGATAACATCTGACGATAACCGAGTTGACGATAACAGGTGACAATAACAGAGCTGACGATAACATCTGACGATAACCGAGTTGACGATAACAGCTGACAATAACGGAGCTAACGATAACATCTGACGACAACCGAGTTGACGATAACAGTTGACAATAACAGAGCTGACGATAACCAAGTTGACGATAACAGCTGACGATAACATAGCTGACAGTAACAGAGTTGACAATAATATTTAAAGATAACCAAGTTGACAATAACCGAGTTTAAGATAACTGAGCTGACGATAACCAAGTTAACGATCAGAGATGACAATAAGTGTTGGCAGTCACCGAAAAGAGTTTAACCAAGTTGATGTTAACCGATATGACAATAAGAGCTGACGATAACACAGTTTACGATAACCAAGTTGACAATAACCAAGCTGACGATAATCGAGTTGACAATAACCGAAATTTAAAAAAAATAGTTGAGAATAACCGAGTTGATGATAAGAGCTGACAACATCTGAGTTTAAGATAACGGAGTTGGTGGTGACCGAGTTAACGATAACAGCTGACAATAACAGAGCTGACGATAACCGAGTTGACGATAACAGAGTTCAAGAACTGACAATAAGTTGACGATAACTGAGTTGACAGTAACAGAGTTGATAATAACAGTTAAAGATAACCGAGTTGACGGTTACCGAGTTTAAGATAACTGAGCTGACGATGACCAAGTTGATGATAAGAGATGACGACAAAAGTTTACCCGGGTTGATGGTAACCGAGTTGATGACAACCGAGTTGACAATAAGAGCTGACAATAACCGAGTTGACAATAACAGAGTTGACGATAACGGAGTTGACGACAACCAAGCTGACGATAACCAAGTTGATGGTAACAGAGTTGACTATAAGAGCTGATGTTATCCGTGTTCGCGCTAACCAAGTTGACTCTAACCGAGTTGACGATGACAGAGTTAACAATAACCGAGTTGACAATAAGAGCTGACAATAGCCAAGTTGACAATAAGAGCTGACGAAAACAGTGTAACCGAGTTGACGATAACCAAGTTGACAATAACCAAGCTGACGATAACCGAGCTAAGGATAACCAAGTTGATGATAGGAGCTGATAGTAACAGAGCTTACGATAACTAAGTTGACCGTGACCGAGTTGACGATAACCAAATTGACTATATAAGCTGACGATAAGAGTTTAAGGTAACCGAGTTGACAATAACCGAATTGACGATAAGTGATAATAGTTTAAGCAAGCTGACGATTACCGAGCAGACAATAACCGAGTTGACAAAAAGAGCTGACTCTAACAGAGTTGACGGTAGCTGAAGATAAAAGTTGACGATAACTGAGTTGACTATAAGAGCTGATGATAACCG